GTTTTAAGCCACCGGGTCCAGGACGCGAACCATGGTCGACCATGTGGGAGTCCAGTGACATAGCCATTATGCCAACTGCTGGTTCCCTATAATTTATATACTTTTTGAAAGTCCATTTTTCTCTTTATATTTAGTCTCTTATGGCTTTTCACCATTATAAAATACTAGTAGGAAACTGTGTAAATATTTGTTTTTCTCTTCACCACCACCTGCCAGCCCAAAATCTTTTCTTATATGAATTTTGCTTTAATAAAAATAATAATGTAGGGGCTGGCAGGTGGCATGGTGGTTAAGGGCTGGACTCCCACATGGCCAACCATGGTTTGGGTCCCAGACCTGGCGGCTTGCTTTCTCACTTTCCCTTTTTCTCTCTCGCTTGCTCTCTTGAAATATAAAATGACACTTTATCATTTACTAAGGAGTTTTATTGTGTGGGAGCTCCGTAAGATAGGGGAGCTATTAAGATCCTCAATTACAAATGAGGAATCTCAGTAAGATGCAGGTAAGTTCAATTTTATGCCTAAAACCACAAAGGTATCTACCAATGAAATGAAGGCAAGAACTCTAATTTAATACGTTTTATTCTTGCAAGTTTCATAGTTGATATTTTGCTGAGTATGGAATGGGAAAGATAGGAAATTTTTCTTCGTTGGTGGGCTCTGACTCTTCTCTTTTTCTGCTTACCCACTTAGTCGGAACCAGCTATCAACATTGCCAGTACATTTTTTTTTTTTTTGAGAGGTTTTTGCTATGGGGCATGTGCACTCGCCATAAAGAAAGAGAGAGACAGAGCAACAGAAAGCAAGAAATCACCCTCCAGGGGGATGACCACGCCACAATCCCTTCCCCATTCTCCTCTTGGGATCTTGGGCACGCACTCACACGCACCCGGCGTGAGTTTAAGCCACCACTGGGTCTGGGACTCGAACCACTGTCGACTACATGGGAGTCCAGCAACATAGCCATTACGCTAACTGTTGGTCCCTATACCATACTCTTTTATATGGTAATGATGTATTATTAAGATGTCTTTTTGAGTTCTTTTCCAGTATTGCTAGTGAAGTTTTACTGAATGATCAGTACAGAATTAAAAAAAGAAATGGGGCCAGCTGTGAGGGCACAGTGATGGCACACCATTCAGCAGTGCTGGAGCTGTGTGGAAGATTGAGGGTTTGATTTCTGGGTTGACTTGCACATGGAGACATACATTTGCCCATGATCTCGGCTGGCTGGAAAGAATTGGGGGAGGAATCAAGGTTTTGAGAGTACCATCATTCCCTTTCTGTCTCTATCTGTCTCTGTCTGTCTCATGAAAGAAATAAATGGATGAACATAAAAATGAAAAAAGAGGGGCTGGCAGATGGCATGATAGTTAAGGGCACTAGGCTCTCACGTGGCTGACTGAGGTTCAAGTCCCGGACCTGGTGGCTTGCTTTCTCACTTTCTCTCTCTACCTCTCTCACTCTGTCTCTCTGTGGTCAAGTGAAAATAAACAAATGAATAAAGTTAAGTAAAAATCATTCTTAAAAATAAATAAATAGGGGACCAGCAGTTAGCGTAATGGCTATGTCGCTGTACTCCCATGTAGCTGACCACAATTCAAGTCCCGGACCTGGTGGCTTAAACTCATGCTGGGTGCATTTGTGTGCGTGCCCGAGATCCTGAGAGGAGAATGGAGAAGAAGGGATTGCGGCTTGGCCATTCCCCCTGTGGAGTGACTTCTTACTTTCTGTCTCTCTGTCTCTCTGGCAAGCACACACGCCCTAAAACAAAAGAACCTCTCCAAAAATAAGTAAGTAAATAAATAAATAAATAAAAAGAACTTAAGGTACAAGTATAATAGGTCACCATAGAGTGGGAATAGGTCATTAGAATTATGTTCTAAGACCAGCAGGGGGCATGGTGATTAAGGCGCTGGACACTCCCACATGGCCAACCACAGTTTGAGTCCTAAAACTGGTGGCTTACTTTCTCACTCTCTGTTTCTCTCTCACTTTCTGTGTCTCTCTCTGGTCAAATTAAAATAAATGAACAAATAAATAAATTGTAAAAAAAGAAAGAATTATGTTCTAATATTGAGTGATTTCTGTTATTAAACTGTAGAGAGATAAGCTAATGATATGTTTGAATTTTTCAAATTAAATTATGTTACTATCATCAATATTCTTATTTTTGATTAGCC